CCTTTCCTCTGGTTTCTAGAGAGATCTTTTCCATACTCCTCAATACTTGCATCATGGTGGCTTACAAATCTTCATTAGTGACCTTTCCACCTGACTTTTCAAAAAAGGTCAGGCTCTAAGATCTGGGGGATGTATGTTGAAGGAAAGTTCTCTGGGTGATCTGTCATGCCTGCTTCTATTGGACAAAAAGGTTGCCCAAATTCTACCTTCCATCGAACGTTCAATCCTTCCTTCGTCTTAGCATACAATATTATAAAATAAGTCCCACTAGGTGTGCCAAAATTATGTTCGGGCTAGATCTGTCCCTCACACAACTCATATGGGTCTTGCCTATCGGGCAAGTTATGCTTCTTGGTGTACTGCAATATGAGTTTGTTATTAGTTTGAATTGTGTCTTTGTGGGGCCTTTGTTAGGCCTTGATGCTCACAATCAAAACTAATATAGATCTGAGCATGCCACTGTTATTTTTGTATAACAGATTTTTCTTTTTGGTCATTAACTGGGTTGATTACTTGTGTCACAAGTTACTTAGACTTCTTGATTCTATTTGGATTGTTACAGATGGGTTAAGTCTGTATAAAGTTCTTTTTCTTACCTTGTAAACAAGGACTTTTACACATAATATCATATGTTCAATTAAAGGGAGTTTAGGGCTCTTTAAATTATCTCTATGGTTATGGCTAACATTGAAGAAGCAAGGTTAATTAGTTCAACAAGATTAATCATGGATGAACCTTGATCTACGAAAATGATGTAAGATACAATGAAAAATGCATAAAACAACATATTTACTTTATACAAGTACAAACAAAAGAGACTCATGCAAGATTATGACCTTGTCAAGCAAGGTTCGTCTTCTTGCAACCACTTCTGTTTGTGTTTTACAAGGGTTGTAATCTTTGGAGAATGAAGAATAAAGCAAGTTTACTAGAGGGATTCAATACTACAACATAAGAGAAAGGTAGCAGAGCTTTTAAAACTTGACAAAAGATGGCTTTCTACGATGGATCTATGACTAAAAAAGTAGAGTTTTGGACAAACTAAAGCTTTTTTGGTATCTTGCTTGTCTGAGAGCAAAGTTCGATGTATTTTGATTGATTGGTTGAGTGTCCTTATCCTTTGTGTCCCTCGTTGCTTTTATAGACTCTCTAGCTCGACTGTCCAAGCCTTGCCTTTTAGTGATGGCCTCTAGAGTCTAGTGAGTCACCATCTCTTTACCTATCTATGCCCTTGAAAATCGCTTTTTGCTAGGAGTGAGCTGCCCACTAAGTGTCACTTCTCACATAGGCTTGTTGCCTATTCCTTGGCAAAAATTATTTTTAGCTCTTCTTGGGCTATCGACTTGTCCGAGCCCAATCCTCCTTCTATTTTTTGCGTTCTTGGGCCTCCAAACACACTAAGCCTAGCATTAAATATCCACTCAAACACCAGGAAAGTCAAACCCAAAGGTGCAATAATTTATTGGGTAGTCCCTAGTGGGAGGAAGGCCAAGGTCAAAATTTTCATAGGTCAGAGCAAGAAGGGATTTCACCATCCAAATCCAATAATATAACCCAAAAACGGCATAGACGGTAAGGTACGCTAGAACAAGGCAAGGATTTCATGTACGAAATGTTGGACAATTCTTTTGCTTGATTGAATAAATCAACCAAAAACCAACTATAATTAAAGAAGGATGTGGTGGATGGAAAATTAATTTCTCTTTTATATAAATTAAGGTCATCGTCACGTTCGTTTAGTATATAACTAGCACAGTGTGTATGCACTTTGTGTGTGGGAACATTTTTTCTTTTTGCTTTTAAAATGGGAAGAAGAGAGGGAGAGACGTTGGGGTAAAGGTGGGAAGAGAGGTTTTTTTTATTTTTTTTATTTTTTTTAGTATTAAATATATGCTAAAATCACATGCAGATAAGACTTCAATAAAATTGACAAACAAAATTTGGTTAAAAGGTATTTCAGATAACACCTTGTTTTTTATCTGATGTGAGGTATATAAGCACATGAGAGAACATATTCTGATATCACAAAAACAATAAAAAATAAAAAATAAAAAATAAAAAATAAAAATTAAAGTTCCATCATAAAAATTTAATTGATGATATGGGCAATAGCAAAGTTCTTATTTCCTTGATTTGGAATTTATGTTTTCAACATGCTCATTTACTTGTGACAAATTTTTAAGTTTAACATTTGATCAACATAAATTAAATATCGTGTAATTTGTGGCTGTTAAAAATAGAAGAAATAGGAGTCTTTTCTACAGAAAAACACGCGGCTGGGATTTAAGAATGGAAACACACGTCAGGAACAGGAGGGAACGAGAGAGTTTAAAGGCAGAGATTAAGCCACGTCAGAAAAGACCTTGGGATGTCAATGCATATTACCTAAGCCATGATGTCGTGAGTCCTCAAATGTCCACGGCAAAGGAGATTGACCAAACTGGCCTTATCGTCTCCCACTTTATAGCTATAAGTTGAGCATGTCATTAGGTACTTAGTTTGTGTTACGTAAAATCAATCTTAAGGTGGTTTTATTGCCATTTTAAAATTGTAGGTGGTGCTCTTTTAAGAAGAAAAATTTGTGTAGAGCTTGATTTGTTATTAGATCATGCTAAATGGTATTACATCACCATTTTGTACCTTTCATGTGTTGAACCAAAATAATAAAGGACTCTCCTTATTAAGTATTTTCTCTTTCCCATGAACATTCACTATTCGTGTATTGACTTAAAATATCCACTCATCAATTAGTATTATGGAAAAGGAAATTCTTAAAAGTTGAACTATTTATGGACTCTCCGTCATCTCATGTTTTTTGCACAATTAATATGACAATACTATAAAACTTCGTACAAAAACATCATATGGGGGAGTGCATAGAAAGTCTCCTTAGCATTTCTTTTAGAATTATTGTCTGGTTGTATTTTTTTAGACTTGAAATGAGAAATCTTAAATTCAATTCTTGTAGGTTATATTTCGTTTTATTAAAAAATGATAATAAATACCTATAAACTTGTAACTCAATTAATTATGTTTTGTTCTTTCTCATAATATTATATGTATAAAAAGAAGAGTTTATTGTTAGCTAAAAAGAGAAGACATTAGGTCCTAAGTGAGAGGTCCTCGGTTTGGCGAATTCAAACCAAATTATTATTGCTAGTTTATTGTGAGATTTAGCAAGTTAGTGCACTCCCCCACTCCTCAATGTAAAATCATCTTGTGTATTTAGAGGATTGTACGTGGAAGCTAAAGATTACACAAAAAGCACAGTCATGCTAGCACGTGAAAACCACAATGTTGAAGCAAATGGCACTTTACTCAGTGACGGAAAATAATGATGTTTGTACGCTCGAGTGCAGGTTAGATCCCAATCGATCTCGTTTCCCCTAATAACTAATAATTTAACTCACTAATACAGTCATTTGTAATAAATAAAAAATAAAAAAATAAAAAAATAAAAGAAAACACAATGTAGAAATTCAAACTTGTTTTGCTTCTCGATTGTTTCCCTTCCTCCTACAAACGTACCCCTTCAAAATTAGATATCTCCAACGTTGGACGAATCCCTTTGACCAAATTGATGCATCTGTACTATAATATCAATTTTATAAACCATGTTTTAAATCCACATGTGGTTCTAGACTCTGCACACGAAAATACGATTCCTCACTATTTAAGGTATTGCCACATATGACTATTTTAAGGAATATCGTCCTTTTTGGCAAATACCGCTTTACGGTAGTAGTAGAAATTAATTATATCTCTGTATTAAGGTGCGGGTTCCCACCTCACTTTGCTCCTTTAATAACTAACCATTTAACCCAAAAGCAAATAACAAGTTTTGTATCTTTAAATAAATGACATGGTGTAATTTATTTTCTTTTGGTTGCTTAATAAGGAGAGGAGAGATAGATTCTTCAACATATCAGGAGCACGTCCTACTATTTTAAGTACTATAAAAAGTTGAAACTATAACTCAGGTTTCAATCTATCTTTCTTGTTCTTCTCCCATTGGAAAGTCAACGTATAGTATACACCCATATCTTGTAATATAAGCAACATTAAGAGATTAGGAATCCTAACCAAATTAGGACGCACAATTACATTCCTATACAATCATGTTGACTCACGCCAACACTCTCCATCAAGTTGGTGCATAGATATCTTCCAGACCCAACTTGTCGAGCCCCTGAAATCTCCGAGCAGAAATCGCATGTGTCAAAATATTTGTCAATTGATCTTCTGTCCTTATAAACAGAATGTCAACCAACGTAATGTCCAGCATTTCTTTTATGAAACGTCTATCCACCTTAACATACTTGGTCCTATCATGTTGCATCAGATTATTAGCTATCTCTCGTGCTGCTTGATTATCACAGTACAACAGCATAGACCCTTCAGATTTGAACCCTATCCCATTAAGTAGAATCTGAAGCCACAGAAGCTCACAAATATCATGTGTCGTTCCTCTATACTCAGCATCAGTCGAAGACCTTGCCACCACATTTTGCTTCTTACTTCTTCAAGTCACAAGATTACCAGCTACAAACGTAAAGTATCCCGACGTACACCGCTGCTCAGTAATATTTCCAGCCCAATTTGCATCAGTATACCTTTTCACCTCCTCCTCATGTACATTAACCCTGGGGGCGATTGTGCATGACAAGGTCTGAGTAGATACGAGGAGCACTTCGGGTAGCATTTCAGAATTCAGAGATTGGAGTGATTTGGTTACCCCGATACGTATCCTTGTATTTCTTTGGGAGCCTACAGGCATGTCTTAGCTCCGTTGTAAATATTGTTAATTTCAATTCATTATTTCAATTTGTATTTCCTGGCATCACTTTACAGTCGACCGTCACACATCGATCCTGAACATATGTCGGGATCGGAGCGTGACAGCGCGGGATTTGTAGTGTCGTGTTAGCAAGGGCTCTACTCCGAGCGAGTCCCAACTAATATCATTTTCGTTAATTCAAATCGCACCAAACATGGATCTGTAGTCCCACTTAAGATAGTCGCACTTAATAACATGTAAACAAACGAGCCGTTACAGTCTTACATTGAGTGTCATTGAGTGTCATTGAGTGCCACATATATATTCTATCAAATCTACCCCCTATATACAGACACGTGCATAATTTTAGTTATAAATATATGCTGACATTGCTAAAACATACCTAGGCCAAAACCATATAAGTTGACTACAAAAGGTGAATGGGCCTGCTAATTAGATCCTTCCTCCTCAATTGCATTGAGTCAAATTCAAATTATCTCCCTTAATTTTCTTAATGTAAATTAGTGCTATAATAAAAACCATATAAATTTGACAGAGATTGACACTAATTAGATTTGGAGATCATAATCGTCAATGGAAATGCTCAAACCCCCTTGATGATCACCGCCGTTGCCAAATCCATGTCCTCCTCCCCAGCTGCCCCTAGAAGTAGAAGTAGAACTCTGTCCAACATAACCATCTTCCCAAAACTCAGTCGTCTCAACTGCATAGCTTCCAGTTCCAGCTGGCTGCTGTGGCGGCGACTTGTTGGCTATCAGCTGAGCATCAACTGCCATGCCAGCATCCGAGGCTGCCTTCTGCACCGACCTGGGCGACATATCATCCCTCGCACAAGGCGGTAACTCCAACGGGAAGTTAAGGCCTTCCAACGTGGAAGGTCGACGCAAGCAATAATACGCAACGTCTCGAGCCACCGCTGCCGCCTCTGCCGTGGAGAAGGAGCCTAACCAAAGCCGGTCTTGAGTCCCCGGAACACGGATTTCGGACACCCACTTGCCCCATTTCCGTTGGCGCACCCCCTTGAGTTTTCTGTTTGTTGTGCTGCATGGACTCCCGCTTTCTTCCGAACTGTAACTCATGATGATGATGATATATATATGTAATAGTAATTAGCTAGTAAGGAAGAAATGGGAAACGTGGCGACTCAGATTCTGTGAATGAAAAAGGCAAATAGGAAGAAGTGTTTATATAGGTTGAACAACTGGGAAGGTCAGACTCAGAGGTGCAATAATTTATTGGGTAGAGACCCTAGTGGGGGGGATGGTCAAAATTTTCAAAAGTCAAAACAAGAATATAAACTAGAAGCGGCATGGACGGTAAGCTACTAAAACAAGGCAAGGATTTCATGTACGGAATGTTAGGCAATTCTTTTGCTTTTTTTTTTTTATATAAAAACTGAATAAATCAACCAAAAGTAACAAGAAGCATGTGATGCATGTTGAATTTATTCCTTTTTTTTATATAAAACAAGTTCATCGTTACGGATCAACTAATCGATAATAATACATTAGTATATATTTGATATGAAATTTATAGGTTAAATAGTCAAAATGGTCTATGAGATTTGCATAACTCATCACTTTGGTCCCTAACATTTCAAATCAATCAAAATGGTCATTGAGATTGTCCACCATCCATCATTTTGGTCCTTCCATTAAAAACTCTGTTGAGTGTCTCGGAGCTCTTGGTCAGAAGTTTGGGTAATTTTCAAAGCTTTGTAACTCAATCGTTTCTTAATCAAATTCGACCCATAATATATCAAAATGAAGATAGGAAAGTGTAGAATAAGATTAGACCTATTTGGAAGTCCAATGGTTGCCGTAGATGGCCAGAAAATAGCCTCAAAGTTGGCTGGTCCGAGTAAAAATAGAAAACTCGCCGGAAACTGGATAAACTTCAAATGTTCATAACTTCTTCAATACTAAACGAAATCAAGTGATTCAAAAACAAAAATCATACTTCTCGACGAGACGAAGAGAATTGTACCTTTTTCGATGGCTAAATCTCCGTGGTTTAGCCGGAAAACAGCTCGAAAGTGGCAGTGGACTTAATAATATGATCAGGATTAAAATCATTTCCATAATTGTGAATTTATATTTTCAATACGCTTACCCTCGTCTCAAATTTTCAAATCTAACACTTGAACAACACAAATTAAATGACATGTAATGTATGGTGGTTAAAAATAGAAGAAATAAGAGTCCTTTTCTACAGAAAAACACGTGGTCAATTAAGGTGAAAGCATGAAAGCCCAGGTTGGGATTTAAGAATGGAAACACACGTCAGGAGCAAAAACTAACAAGGGAGTTTAGAGGCTGAGATTAAGCCATGTCAGAAAACACCTTGGGATATCAATGCATATTACCTAAGCCGTGATGTCATGAGTCCACGACCAACATCGGTCTTTTAGATAAAACGTAACGAAAGGAGCAATTGTCCACTGAAAAACCTATGCCGGTCCAAAACAAGCAAAGAAGATTGACCAGACTGTTTTCATCGTCCAATAGTTATAGGCTATAGGTACAGGTGGAGTTTGTCTTTTAGTACTTTCTTTGAGTTACCTGAAATCAATTTTTAAGGTGAACATTCACTATTTATTTTTAATTCGTGGATTGACTTAAAATATTCACTCGTCATTTATTATTATAGGAAAAAAAATGGAGATTTTCAAAAGTTAGAACTTTTTATGATTCTTCGTCACATCATGTTTTTAGCATAATTTTTAAAATAACATTATAAAATGTTGTGCAAAAAACATAAGATAGTGGAGAGTCTCATATTAAGAGAATTTACTTTAGCATTTCTCTTAGTATTATAGTCTGATGGGGAATTTTCTACATTTGAAAATGAGAAATCTTGAATTCAAATTTTGTAACTGATGATTTCGTTTTAATAAAAAAATTATAAAAACCTCAAAACTTGTAGCACTGTTAGCTATGTTTTGTTCTTTCTCATGATATAATTTGTATAAAAATAAAAAAAAAGAGTTTATTGGTTAGCTAAAAACAGAAGATATTAGGTCCTATGTGAGAGGTCTTAGATTGAACGAATTCAAACCAAATTATTATAGCTACTCTATTATGAGACTTAGCAAGTTAGTCCACTTTTTCACTTCTTAATGTAAAAAATATCTTATATATTAAAGGATTGTACATGGAAGCCAAAGATTACCCAAAAAGCACAATCATGCTAGCATGTGAAACAAGCAGATAACGTTTTATAATGACGAAAAATAATGATGCTTGTACACTCTAATGTAGGTTAGATCCAATCGATTTTCGTTCCCCTTACTAGTTAATAATTTACCCAATTAATACTGTCGTTAGTTAAAAAAAAAAAATACAGCAACGCAGAAATTCAAATATGTTTTGCTTCTTGCTTGTTTCCCTTTCTCCTACAAACGTACCCCTTCCAAATTTGATCTCTGCATTTTTGTACGAATCCCTTTGACCAAATTGATTCCTGTGTACCATAATATCAATTTTATAAAACCATGTTTTAAATCCACATGTGGTTCCAGACCCTGCACAGGAAAATATGAGTCCTCATTATTTAAAGTTGAAATTGATCTAAGGTATTGCTACATATGACTATTTTTAAGGAATGTCATCCTTTTTTTTTAAATGCTACTTTATTGCAGTAACAAAAAATAATTATGTATATGCATTAAGGTACTGATTCAAACCTCGTTTCGTTCTCTAACAACTAATTATTTAAAAGGAAAACTAATGAAAATGGTTTGAAAACTTTGAGTTTTAATGATAAGGACAAAATAAAGGGTAAAGTGAATAGTACCAGGATTGACTTTTTAGTGTAAAAATGCGGTTTTTCGTTAAAGTGAACAGTACCGGGAACTTTTCGTTAGAGTTCCCTTATTTAAATCTAGAAGCAAATAATAAATTTTTAATCTTTAAATAAATAGTTAATCTCAGTTTACTACCCTAAAATTTTAACACTGAATTTGGACGAGTCTAATTATCATGGTGCATTCATCATATTTAATTTAAAGATCGTTCATATATTCATTTAAGTTCATGATTAGTCTTGCATTAAGTGTATGCTTAGTAACCTCTTCATGAGGTAGAAGGTTGTTCCATGCCTAGCTATTTAAAACCACTACTCATGTATGGAAATACAATCATCCAAAAATTAAGAATTACTTTTAAACTTGGTTTAGTGAATAGTGTTTTTCTTCCTATCCATAAACTCTTATCTCTTTGATGGATTCCTTAGAGTGGCGAGTTGTTTATCTTTGAGCGTTCACTTATGGTTTCTCTTTGATCTCCATTATCCAATGTCAAATTGGTATCATAGCTCTATTTGATCATGGTTGGGAGGCATGGGCGTCGTGGAGGCCGACAAGCTCGCCAGGACTCACCACATTGTGAGAAAGATCTGCGTGACATTGAGATGGACGACCTAAGGAGATAAGTGCAGCAACTCCAACGGTGTCTTGAGCGCTACGAACCTCTGGAACATGATGATTCCCGTCATGAAACAGAGAATGATAAATTCAATGAGAATCTTTTTGTAGGTGACAAATTTCTAAATCTTAATCTTCCTCCAAAGTTTGATCTTTGTCCTAGTGGTTCTTGTGAAATTTGTTGTGGTATATGTCAATATAATTTTGTCTATGATGATGGTGATGACAAGGATGTAATTGATGTGGTTAACCAAGAAGTTTTGCAGTCTCTAGCAGTTTTTAATTATTACAATGGTGATGAAGATGTGATTACAATGGTTGAAGAATTCCAAGAACAGCTATATAATGAGGCAAATGTTGTTGGTATCCGTAGAATGCGTGATAATTTTTGGGAAGATTTCATTGTTAGAAATATGAGAAGGAAACCATTGAATAAAAGTTTTCAGTATGATTTGAATTATTTCCACTCAATCCCAAGTTATGAGTATGAAGTGATTCAGAAGCATTATTCCAAGGTAATTATTTTTAAGGGAAATAAATTGGTGCGTGCATGGTTCGGAAGAATGTGGAAAATCAAAAGTTCTCTGTATTGTTTTATTTCTTGGAATTTTTCAAGGTCTTCAAATTTATTGGTGTTAAATTAGATGAAGTGGAAACTATTAGTTGGGCATCCGAAAGATCGAGGAAGACTAAACAAAACTCAAGGATGAGTTATTGCGAAGCGAAAGGGTATGACATCGAATTTGGACTTGTCTAATTATCATGGTCCATTCATCATATTTAATTTAAAGATGGTTCATATTTTCATTTAAGTTCTTGAATAGTCTTACATTAAGTGTATGCTTAGTAACCTCTTCATGGAAGGTAGAAGGTTGTTTCATGCCTAGCTATTTAAAACCACTACTCATGTCATGTATGGAAATACAATTATCCATAAATTAAGAATTACTTTTAAACTTGGTTTAGTGAAGAGTGTTTTTCTTTCTATCCATAAACTTTTATCTCTTTGGTGGATTCTTTATAGTGACGAGTTGTTTATCTTTGAGGGTTCACTTGTGGTTTGTCTTTGATATCCATTATCCGATGTCAAATTTCGTGGTTTTCAACATTTGGTACAAGAAGTTTTTTTCATCTCAGAGTCATACCTCAAGTCTTAATTTTGGGACAGTTTCATATATCTGTTAAGTTGACTGTTAAATCAGTCGTTAATTGATGACGACTGGACGCCACGTGTCAATATGGGTTTACGTAGATATTAAAAAAAATTAAAAATAAAAAAGTTTAAAAAATAAAAAAACTAAACCTAAATTGATATCCCCTTCATCCCTTTCCTCTCCCCCATTTCTTCCTCACCATCGCCACCCTTCGTCCCTTTCTCAGTGCTTCCTCCACTCTCTCTCCGTCCACCACCTCGTCCCAAGGCCACTGTCGATGACCAGATCCGGCGGGTCGTTTCCGCCAACTCCAAAAACAACCTCAAGGCGCGATGGGCTCCCAACTCCTCTTCCAATGAGACCCCATCCTCGACGTCGTCCACTTTGATGCCCTTCTTCTCTAGCTCATGACAACTATAGCTTTGCCTTTTTTCTTGTACTTAAACAGCAATCCATGCCAATTGTTATTTCTAAATTATAATCTTGTCTTGCTTAATTAATGATCAAAATCAGATTTTGAATCCGACCCAAAAATTCAATTTCCACAAAAAATTATTGGAACTTGATATGAGATACAAAAAACCCACCA